GAAATGTTGTTCTAGGAGGAAGTAGCCATCATTGAGCCTCTCCACCACTTTTCTACAATTTTATGGCTGTTTCTTTTCTTGCAAACAGAGAAAAAGCTTTGGCTTCTGAGCAGCGTTGCTCCCCCAGGACTCCGGGTTAAGGTGAAAAAATGACTTGTCTTACTCTGTTAGGATCAATTTTAACCACAAAGTCCCTCTTGGCTTCTCTTTTCTCCCTTGACCTAATAATGGAGATTTTTGTGATGTGAAACCGCAGGACTGCATTCCTGAGAGAGGGGCGGCTGCTCTTCTCCTTCCATCACCAAAGGGATGCAGATCCAGAAAGACTGCTCTTCACTTTGCTGAATACCATTGAACCGGAGATAGGATATTGTGTTGGATTATGGTAAAGTGGGCCAAAAGCAACCAAAATGCCCTTTAATAAAATACTCTAAGGTGCAGTGTTGCCTTCTTAAAAGGAAATTGCAAATCTAAGAAGATAGAAAAAAAATACTCATTTAATTATAGTATGTAGAAGTAGAACCTTTGAAGGATATTTACTAAAACTGAACCTCTCAGAATCTGGCGCAGTTGTACATGGCAGCCAATCAGCTTCTAACCTCAGCTTGTTCAGTTAAGCTTTAACTTTAAAACTTGGAATCAGATTGGTTTCTTTGCACAGCTGCACCAGATTTTGCACTCTCCAGTTTTAGTAAATAACTCCCTTTATGTCTGTGTATCATGGGTTTGCAGCACATATGCAACCTAGTACAGTGATTGGCTGCGAGCAGAACGCAAAGTACCGTGCAAGTCCTTACAAGCCCTGCCTTTATCTCGACTGCTCGCTAAGGCCCCTTTCACATGGACAGTCCCTCTGTCAGTTGTTTGACCTGTTGGCGGCATGGCTGTGCAAAATCACGTGTGTGTGTGTGTATGTGTGTATATATATATATATATATATATATATATATATATATATACAAACAGACATACACATAATGTTATTTTGCATGTCTGGGTAGGGGGTGCGCACGCCCTACCTGAGCTGCCACTGTCGGTTTTAGCAGTCGATCACCGGGTCCTGGATGGTGATTCCTCACCGGCACCCAGCAATCGGCGAGTATCACTAACGGGGGGAGAGGTCTGTATGTAAACAATATAGATCTCTCCCCTGTCAGCTCCAGCACACTGCTTTGTATTGCTCTGCTATGCAGAGTTGTTGCTGAGAGGGATCTACTGTTGAGGGAGAGGTCTACTGACGATGGTTGCTGAGAGATCTGTTGTTGCTGGGGTGGTATTTTGTTCTGAGGGAGGTCTGTTGTTGCTGGGGGGGTCTATTGTTGTAGAGGGGATCTATTGTTGCTGAGTGGCCTATTGTTGCTGGCTGAAGAGGATCTATTTTACTACTTTTCTTGTTATCAATAACAAATTCTATACATATTACTTAGCAGCACAAACTGATACTTAGTTCTGTATTCTCTAAAAAGGGTGGTACTTGGATTTGGGTACAGGGTGGAACCAGGGGACAGTGCTCGGGGGTGGAGACAAGGGGTGATTCAGAAAGGAGAAGTTCCTTCACCTAGTCTCTGAGGAAAAAAATCCCTGGTTCTGACAGACCTGGACAGACCTGAAGTTCGGAGGATGTAGTCCACTTACATCCTCCCACCCCACCTCTGGCCCATTCAGCTCCTTGCAACTGAACAGAAAAGGTTTGCAGTTGGGTCCACACGGATATAGCTGGATGCATGGCCACTTTTATCCACCAAACAATTGGCTTTACATGGGCACATTTTGTCTATGGAAGAAAATTCTTAACAGACACATGTAAGCAGGTGCTTCCAAAGGGTTAAAGTTTTTTTTTCTGCTGTGTTGAGTCATGTCACCTCAGACAAATATGAACAAGGCATATCCCTCTATAGTGTGTATTTGTCTCAATTAAGAGCACTGAGTGTCATTTCTGTATGCTGCTTTGTTCCTCTGCTATCATCATGAATCACTTTTGATAAGTTTTCCTGACACCAAGAGAAAAATGGTGACAGGGGAGGGGCCAAACTTTGTATTTGTCTCAGTTAAGAGCACTAAGTGTCATTTCTGTTTACTGCTTTATTCCTCTGCTATCAGCATGAATAACTTTTGAAAAGTTTTCCTGACACCAAGAGAAAAATGGTGACAAGGGAGGGACCTCCAGCAGATTAACAGCCTCAGCTCTGTTCCTGTGTGCTGTGTGGAGGGGGGTGTGTCTCTTCCTTCCAATTAGTTCTCCGAGCTCTCCTCACTGAGCTCTGCAGAGTGTAACTTCAGATCTTCGCCCCTTGTTTTCTGATTTCTCAGACGAGCTTTAAAACATCAAAACATTGAATGGATGTAGAGAAGAGAAGACTGCATTTAGAAAGGTACAACTTCTATAGAAGGATTTGTTTCATCTCTGTGTATCACCTGAGGCCAGTCAATTCACTGGGTATATGGAAGGGTTTGCAACCACTTTAATGTTAATTTCATATGACCGCACACTGCTACCTAATGTTTGGGCATTAGCAAGTGTAGAGGACAACTAATTGCCTACTGTAGGCCTCGAAAATAGAGCCATCATTGCAATTTGCATAGAGGTATTAAAGAAGAGCTGCACTCTTTTCTGAAAAAAAAATATAGTCGGCAACTACAAATACTGTTACTGCTGACTTTGAATAAAAAGGTACTCACAAGTCCAAGAATCCAGGGATCTCTCCACCCAGGCCAGTTCTTTGCCGATCTTCGGGTCTTTGGCGCCGCTATCTTGGATGTGGTAAGAGGGCTGTAGCCCACTGTGCCCGTGCAAGATAGTGCCAGAGTTGTTTGTGATTCACAGTCATGGCTGCACGCTAGGCAGCAGTGTGCCCTAGGCAGCTGCCTAGTTCTTTTGTGGTAGCATCGGCTCTGGGGGCAGGGACTTATAAAGGCTTTGCTGATCCAAGATGGCCACCAGGGGTCACCTGGATGCAGCATAGTCAACTGGAATGCTGCCTTCAGGGCCCATGAAATCATGAAGAAACCGTGTTTCTCCTGACTTCCTCTCTAGGCTGCTGTTTAGAGGGCTACTGCAAGTGTAAATGAGCCTTTACCCACATCCCGTCTGGCCCATGTATATAAATGGCCTCCCCGCACCCTCCTTGTGCGCGCTCCCTGGGAGCACACAGCACCACGCTCCGGTGCCCGCTGTGTCCTCCGGACACAGTGGAACACCGATCGTCGGAGTGGACCTCTGTGCGAGGTCCCGATCATGTGATCACTGATTGGCCAATCAGTGATCACATGCAGAGTAGTAAGCAAGATGTCACTTGTGACATCATTGCTTACTACGTGTGAAATCTGTGAATGATCACAGAGGTCACATGGTACAAGGCTTTTCACAACAGCCTTGTACCATGTGACAAGCTGTGACCAATCACAGCTCACACAGCAGTTCTCAATGGCTGCAAGAATGCAGCCAGAGAAAAGAAGAAATGATTGCTTTTACCGCCTTTATGGGTGTAAAAGCAATCAGTGTAAAAAAAAAAAAACCATGATGACACTGTACTGCTAGGGTGACAGTATGTAAAAAAAAATAATAATAATAATTATAATAAAATATTAAAAAATTAAAAAAAAAAAAAATGTTTAGAAATTATAATTTTTGGTTATAAACTAATTTGGGTTATTTTTTTTTTTTACTAAAAAGATAACGGAATAAATATTGGCCAAGATTTATGATGAAATACTATTTATTTGCAAAATTTTGAAAAAAAACAATTTTTTCAAAATTTTTGGACTTTTTCATTTACATCGCAAAAATAAAAATCCCAGTGGTGAATAAGTACCACCAAAATAAAGCTTTATCTGTCTCAAAAAAATGATAAAAAATTCATATGGGTACAGTGTTGCATGACCGCGCAATTGTCATTCAAAGTGTGATAACGCTGAAAGCTGAAAATTGCCCTGGACAGGAAGGGGGTAAAATTGTCCGGACTGGAAGTGGTTAATGACGGGAAATCTCCTGTATTAAAAACTTGCGAAATAAATCTTCTCAACGTCACACTGACTACTGTACAGTTAACACCCGATAGAGGATACAAATCTTCCCACCCTATCCAAAACTAAAAAATGGTTGTGATGGTGCTTTAACTGTTGCCTTGAGCTTCCCTGCTTTTCAAAAAAAGTGTCAGCTGACTGTCTGTCATCCATATCCAATGGCCTCAGTATTGTCTGAGTCATTGACCTGACACATATAGACAGATCAGGAGATACTGCATACCTGTTTTGGGTTAGTGAATCAGAATGTATTTTAAGCCCAACTGAGAAGCCACAGAGCTACATATGCAGACAGACATTGCAATACCAAACGCCATTTTTCTGTTACAGCTTTGTGCAAGGTCTTATTATGTAGTCCAGCAGACAGCAGAGAGGGGTGTGTTTCATATATTCATGCGTTTTAGTAGGGATGGGGGAATCAATAGACCTCTCCGGGTCAGCCCATGGAGCTGGATGAAATATAAATCTTACAGTGCATGGCCAGCTCTAGATCTATTGTCTTTTGTAATCAGCACTAGCAACAGACCTGATCAGACATTCCCCCTTTCATCCTATGCAAGACAAGATTGTATAAGGAAATCTGTGCTAAGGGGTGTGGCTGCTACTCAGCTATGCCAGCACAGAACACTGGAGTGTAATGCCGGCTATACAAGGGTCGAAAATCGCACCTAAGAATAATCGGCTGATTTTCACTCTGTTAGTGGGTCAATGGCACCGTCCGATTTTCATGGTTCCTCCCCTTTTCAGTGATCGGGCATGTTGGAAAATATTTGAAAAATGGCCGATTTTTGACTTGATGATGGTCAAATCGTACGATCGTTTTTCCAAAATAAATATGTGCATGAGCCGTAACCTGGAAGGAACAGAAATTTTGCCTGTTATATGGGGTGAACTTGGTCGGCCGATTTTCAAAATCATTGATGGCACCATCGGATTACCGAGCGAGCGACGTTTTCGATATTCGGACGAAAAATCGGTTGGCATTCGACCCATGTATGGCCTGCATAAGTCATAACAGCTGTATTTTCACTCAGAGAAAAATGAACAGACCAGGGGCGGACTGACCATTTGGAAACTCGGGCACTGTCCGAGGGCCCGGGGTCAGTAGGGGGCCCCATGAGATGCCCCTGGTACCTTTTTTCATAGGTTTTTTTGAGTTTGGGCAAGGACACAGGGGCTCCATGATCCCCTATTGCCCAGGGGCCCCATGAGTTGTCAGTCCGCCCCTGGTACAGACTATAAATATATAGTATACGGTCTATAAAGAGTCAAAGAGGGGTGAAAAGGGGAGATCAGCAAGATGGCCAGAGAAATTGCCCTTTTGATGGGTTTTCTTTCATTCAAAAACAGGGCTTTCTTGTCTATAATGAATACACCTGCTTTGGGAATCTTATCTGAGCCATCTCGCCTTGTCTTGTTGTCTTGTTTGTTGCTAGATTGCATTGCCAAACTTTTTTCAGTTATATAACATTCCAAATAAAAGTTTACTTTGCAAGGTTGTTATGCGACCGCTCAGTTAGTTCCCAGAATCCAAGTAAAAAAAAATCAACCCTGCATTTATTACGGGACACCAGGCACATTAATTATGGACATCTCCTGCCAGCCCCTCTGAATCCCCTCGTCATGACAGGGCAGCTGAGAATGTGGACCAGCAGGTCATGTGACTATACAGTAGCATTAAACACAGCTCTAGGGAGTTAGGTCGTGGTTAAAAGGCTACTTGATCTGTACTTTAAGCATTATTTTTACTCCTTTAAGAAAAAAAAAAAAAGAGCCACCGAACTGGAAACAACAAAACAGAATGAAAGTAGAACTTCTGAACAGCAGGACCAGACAAAGGAGCCCGAGGGCCCTTGCTATGAATTTGTGATGAACAGACAGAAGGCTGCCCTGAGAGTAAGAGTGGGTGCAATGTCATTATTGTTAGTTTAAGTCATTTAGCATGGTTCACTTACCCTCTGAGAGGGCCTTTATTCAGTAGCTCTTTCTAACAAGCCCCTTTTGCTCTGGGCAGCTTGGCAGCAGAGCTCAGTAACAATAGCCGCTTTGAGTCTCAGGAGCGTTTCTCTTCCCATAATATTTAAGTCTGGGTGATTTCAGTAGAGATGGAGTTCAGTTTTTTCACGGCAGTTTATAAAAAAAAAAAAAAAAATGTGTAATGTGCTGTTACTTTGCATTCGACTTGAAACCTTCCTTGGTGGTAACTGGTCGACTCAGAAAAGGTGCTCAAGTTCTAAGAAAGTTTTATATGTAAGATCCAATTAAATGGCTGTGGCACTTTAGCAGTATGCAGTCTTGTGCACGCTGCCAAAACCACCAGCAGCCACGCTAGCCAAATAATGGGAAGACCTGTAGACTTGTCTCCCCTCTGGTGCCCATCACGTGGCCAAATGCCAAAGCACTTGTCATTGGAGGTATGTCAAAGACAGAGAGTGCAGACAGAGCTGCTAACTGGCAATCTAACCAGTATTTTGGTGCAATGACCTACACTGGAGAGAGGACAGGTTCACAGAATTCTAAGAGAAAGGTTAGTATTTCGGACCTGCTCTGTTAGTTCTGTTGGTTCAATGGTAGTGAATATCTACTCTCGGTTTGACTAGTAGGTGTGGACAATACATGCAAAACAAAGAAAGTAAATATCGTCTTTTCCGGCGTATAAGGCGACTGGGTGTATAAGACGACCCCCTAATTTTCCAGTTAAAACATAGGTTTTGGGCTATACTCGCCATATAAGACTACCCCCCTTCCAAGGCAACACCATTTAAAAATATGTGATTTTTTTATTGAAATGGTTATGACTTACTGGTACTTAAAATCCTTCAAAATCCTCATGTTCATCCTCTGACATCATAAATTCATGAATGACATCTTGTGATACATTTGTAAGACAGTCATCATATGGATCAAACTCCAAATCAGATGGTTACCGCTGGATGTGCGGTAATACGGTAGCTTCGGCTACATACAGCAGACAGTATATATACAGCCCGCTGGATGTGCAGTAATGTACATACAGTATACCGTGCTGAGCCAAGTTGGCTCAAAACAAAAGTCCCTATAACAGATTAATCTGTCAGCCCGCTGGATGTGTGGTATATATAGTATACTGAGCCAAGCTGTTTCAAAATGTACCGGTACGTCCCTACGGTAATCAGACCGCTGGATGCGTGTATGTACAGTAGCTGCGGCTACATACAGTATACACTGGGCCAATCACGGCGAGCGATGTATTCTACTAATGAATACAAAGCCTGCTCGGATTGGCTGAGGTTGTGATATCATCAGCCCACCTCTCTGACTCAGCCAATCCGAGCAGGCTTTGTATTCATTAGTAGAATACATCACTCGCCGTGATTGGCCCAGTGTATACTGTATGTAGCCGCAGCTACTGTACATACATGCATCCAGCGGGCTGATTACAGTAGGGACGTACCGGTACGTTTTGAAACCGCTTGGCTCAGCGCAGTATACTGTATATATCGCACACATCCAGCGGGCTGACAGATTAATCTCTCATAGGGATATTTGTTTTGAGCCAGCTTGGCTCAGCACAGTATATTGTATGTGCAGTATTACCACACATCCAGCCAGCTTGACCCAAACAAACTCAAGGTTCACATTTTATACCCCGCGTATAAGACGACCCCCAATTTTTGGGGTATATTTTTAAGTATAAAAAGTAGTCTTATACGCCAGAAAATACTGTATATGTAAAAGTGCAGCACAACTTATAATGTATACTTTAAACAATATTATATGTTACCCTCTGTTCTCAACAAAAAATATCAATACATTTTTCTGTGAATGTTCAAATCCTCAGACAATTAGTACATATGTGCCTCTTAAAATAACCAAAAAGAGCTCGTATAACTTCCTCAATAAAGTGCAAAATTCCTCCTCCTTGTATCTATGTGATATCACCATGAGTGCTCCTTCACCATCCAGACCTTCTGCTTACCTCACAGAAATTATGTATAAAATAAATAGGGAAATTTGCACATTATTATTTATTTCAGGTACTTATATAGCGCCGTCCAATTTACACAGCGCTTTACATATATATTGTACATTCACATCAGTCCCTAACCCTCAAGGGGTGTACAATCTAAGGTCCCTAACTCACATTCATACATACACATACTAGGGACAATTTAGACAGGAGCCAGTTAACCTACCAGCATGTCTTTGGAGTGAGGGAGGAAACTGGAGTACCTCGAGGAAACCCACACAGGCACAGGGAGAACATGCAAGCTCCAGGCAGGTGGTGCCGTGGCTGGGATTTGAACCAACGACCCTAGTACTGCCAGGCGGAAGTGCTAACCATTTAGCTACTGTGATGTCCTATGGCCCTTTACTTAGTGCTTTCACCACCTCTGGATGATTATATCAGCAGTGCTTCTTACATCTTCATAGATATCAGGTTCCAGGTGCAGAATAAAACTTCTTCACTTCACTATCAGCTTCACATCAATGAAAATACCACTTTTATTCCACTTCCGGTAAAACATAATGACTCCAACGCATTTCATTACATGCTTTGTGACTTCCTCAAGGAGAAAGCTCCACTGTCATTTATATTTTCTACATTATCGCTTTTTGTAGTTTACAAAAATTATTTTATTGTTTGTAACTAGTATTAGTTACTTTTATGAGGGTCAAAACTGTTTAGTTAGCAATGGGTGCACTGGGCGTTAAAGTGCAATTTTAAACAGATCTCTTTCTAACTACAGTCCTGCTATTACTTTAAAGCTGCATTGAAGACAAAAAAATAGTTTTCCCTTCAGTTGGGCTGTTCAAGGGTTCATTTCTCTTTTTTTTCTCTAGGGGAGAGATGAAGAGAGATTTACTTACCTGATCCTCCCTACACAAGACCAATCCCTGCAGCTCCTACACCCCCACGCTCTAGTGGTCTTCTTGAGCAAATGCCTGTTCCTGATGTCATTAAGTCAAGAGCAGGCTCAATACACCTGCTCAGGACTTGAGAACACTAGGAAAAGTCCACTGCTGAATCATGGGGGAGCACCGTTTGCCAGTGCAGTGGAGGATTAGGTGAGTATGAGGCTTCTTCCTTTCCCCTGGACAAAATGTGCACTTAAGCCCGGCAGTGTGGGCACAGTCCCACTGCTAGAGAACTTTTTATTGCCTGGAGTTTGGTTTTAATTACCATGAAAACACTCCCTGGGGAATTCATAAATGGTGTTGTGGTGCTTGTGCCCAATTCATGTACCTGTCAGATAGGTCACTGTCAGTCACCGCTGTCTGCTCAGCCCCCCAGTGCTCACTGGAGCGCTGGGCTGTGGAGGGGGAGGGAGTGGCTGGTTCAGGCTCTCAGCGGCTTGCTGAGAGGCTGAGCTAGGTGCTGCTCCAGGTTCTGGGAGGGATCTTTCCCCAGCCTGGACCAGCGGAGTTACTTCAGCCCGCTGTCAGCTGAAAACGGGTCACAAGAAAAGTACAGCCAAAAAGGCTTTGGCTATACTTTTCCTTTAACACTATTTTTTAAGGGCATTATCTACGTGGAGTTTGCATGTTTTGACAAGCTTTCATTGGGTGATTTAATCTCTTCTACCAATAAAAAACATTCTTGTTGATTGATTAACCTTCACTAAAGCTGCCTCTGTGGTGTGAGCATGACTTACCTAGGGGTGTTAGACTGTAAACTTCTTCAGAAGGGGGGAGGTAAATGGGTTGATTTTCACACTTAGGACAAAGTGTCAGATACAGAAGAGTCCTATAATAAAATCCTATTGGAGAACAAACTTAAAAATAAAGAGTAATTTTAGGCAGCAAGTGAAAAAAATCAGTGATGTACTTGCTATATAGTGAACTCAAGTGGCGTCCCTAGGCGGGTGTGCGCCGCACCGGGTGACATCGGATCCTCTCCACGAGCTCCACGAAAAGGAAAGTTTTAAAGCAAGCCAAGGATCGCATCTGCGGATTGAGCATAATGGATTGGAGTCCGATCCATTATGCTCCCCAATTTGCAGATCCGATCTATCTTGTGGGGATCATCGGCTTGCAACCTATACATGGTTAACTGAGGTAAGACTGTGCAAGATCCGGGACTTGTCTGTAGCCAGGAAATGCGGCTGTGATAGAAGGAACCTCCTCCATCTGACATCACTTCTCGAGCATGTGCAGACCAGACCGGTGTTGTAAGATCACTTAACCCCATATAGGTTGCAAGCCAACGATACCCGCAAGATGGATCGGATCTGTGGATTGGGGAGCATAATGGATCGGAGTCCGATCCCTTATGCTCCCCGATTCGCAGATCCGATCCATCTTGCGGGGATCATTGGCTTGCAACCTATACAGGGTTAACTGATCTAGGCAAGGCTATGCAAGATCCGGGACTTGTCTCTAACTAGGAAATACAGCTGTGGTAGCAGGAACCTCCTCCATCTGACATCACTTCTACAGCATGTGCAGACCGTATAGGTTGCAAGCCTGCAATCTCCGCAAGATGGATCGGATCTGCAGATTGGGGAGCATAATGGATCGGACTCCGATCCATTATGCTCAATCCACAGATCCGATCCAGCCTGGGGGTATCTTTGGAGGGGTGACACCAAGTGTTACCGCACTGGGTGACACCAACCCTAGGGATGCCCTCTGGTGAACACTTCAACTGTGCTAAATCAAAACATCCATTCAATTTACCCTAATGCAAGTTTTCTATAATCCTCTGTAGCAGGGGCAGACTGACAACTCATGGGGCCCCCGGGCAAGAGGGGATCATGGGGCCCCTGTGTCCTTGCCCAAACTCAAAAAAAGCCTATGAAAAAAGTACCAGGGGCATCTCATGGGGCCCCCTACTGACCCCGGGCCCTCGGACAGTGCCCAAGTTTCCAAATGGTCAGTCCGCCCCTGCTCTGTAGCCAGAATCCATAGAGCACTTCTCAGGGTTACATGTAGTATTCTTCCTGAAGCTTTATCTGTGTAACTTCCTCCCTTCCTTTACTTTTTTTTTTTTCATCAATCACTCAATATGATATCTGGTGGCATTAGCTGCAGAGGTCTTTAAATGGCCTAAATGTAAATAGCATTAAAATGTAACATTGATTTATGTAAAAACAGGTTTGAATAACATTCATGGATAGATAAAAAGTTTCATGAACGGGTCAAAACAGACCATTATATACAAAACTACTGCAGCATAATCTTTTTCTTTACAAAGCACTGTGATTATTTAAGAGTGCCTTTATAAAAATGTATACTCCCACAAAGGAAATAAAAAAGATTGTGAAAAATATGTGTATGTCATTGTCTGTTAACAACCCATAAAGTCATACTGTATATTAAATAAAGTCCAAAAAACACCTCTGTGCAAATAGAAAAACTGCAACATCCACTGCTTTTACATCGTCCAAGTAAGTCCCATCACCATTCACTACATGCGCTCACCTCAGCTCTATTGCCCCATACATGAAAATAGGTGATTGTGCATATTGTTCTTCCAAAACCGTGATGATATTATTTTCAGCCTTCTTCGCCACCTCAGATGCGATTGTCAATTTTATATTTTTAAAATGACTCCAAATCGGCATGCAAGAATGGCTCCTCCACTCAAAAACATAAGGAAAACCAATATAGCGCTTCATCGTTTTTAAAACTACTTTCTTACAATAAAAGCAATAAAAATACCACTCACCTAACGAATCCACTTTAAATCCAAGTGCACACTGTAATATCACTTAAAATTACATGGGGATGTCCCCTTAATGCCTGGAGATCGGCACTAGCTTACTGAGAAAACTCCAGCCATGATGACATCACGATGCTCCACCCCAAAGCGTTTCGTCACATCTATCCATGATTTTCTCAAGGGTAAACTGAAAAAAAACCCATCCAGATCACAGTGGGGTTGATTTATTAAAGGCAAACAGACATTGCACTTTGCAAGTGCACTTGCACTGTTTTTCCCCAAAGCTTAGTGAATGTGGTGAAGCCCTGCTGATTTCCTTCATCCAATTATGTGCAAGAAAAGACTTTTTTTTTTTTTTCTTTTCAAAAGAAAGTTTAACTGCATTCACTAAGCTCTGTCATAGCTAGACATACATATTATAATAAAATTGTGGCATGAACATCAATAGTCTCATAAAATTAGAAATGTTGAGTTTATACAATATAGTAAAACTTTAAATAATGAAAGTAAATACAAAAGATGTAAAAGTATATCGTTTGTGTGAAGGTGTGGTAACGTTGACATCCATACAGTAGTTCTGCCCTTTGATAATTCTTCAATTCATATACGTAATTGTATTTTCATTGTACAATTACTGGTAGGAGAGAGTGGCTGCGCTCATTTTGCTCTGTGTCCATAGTTAACATAAGGCCTTGGATTCATGGCTTATTTAGCATACCCATAGCACAGAGGAGTCGGCTTGGAGATGATGACAGGCAAAGAATGATGTTATATATAGTGTGTGAGGAGTTTCCTTACGGTTCACTGGCTCTCAGCTGATCCAGAGGGAAGAGAATATTAAACACTGCAAAGTACTGCTTACTAGAGCTATATAAACACAGGCCGCCGCAGTTTACATAGCTGTCAAGAAGTCTTCAGACTGACGCTGAATAGTTACAGAGGCCCATGTAATTCAGACATCGACCACAAGATACTCGATATGTCCATGTTTAAGGGCACATTTCATTTCACAAATTTCCTAATTCTCTTCCTTTGATCAGAATATACCTGTTATATATGATTCGAGGAAGCCATTTTGTTTGCTGGGGAAATATTTCAGGGAATTCAGTTTTGTTAGTTCTTTCTGTCCTGGCGCAAAAATCTTTTAAATGGCATAGATATAACGTGTAGATATAATACATAGACGAGGAGGATTAAGAGACTTTCACGGTACCAAAAGAAAATCATGAAATGTATACAGTATGATTAAAAAGAATTAACTTTTATTTTAACAAATATAGAATTGTGCAAAATAGAGCCTGACGCACCAACGCTCACATACAATAAAACACCAGGTTACACCACCATGCTCGTGTTCCCCATGCAGCAAAATCTTTTACAAATACATTGTCTACAATATGATTGCAGCACTAATGAAGAATACATTGAACAACTGAATCAACACATTTTGTTGAAATATTTCCACCTTCTTCAAGAGTTAATGTTGAGTAAACTCTAAACATAATAGAAACATCCATATGCAATCAGGTATGTAAAAGTGTTTACAAGGCAGGAAAAGGGAGGAGGTGCTGCCAGGTACCACAGGAAAACACACATCCCCAAAGATCTATGTAGAACGGATATGAGATGATAGTAAACACCAATTCAGCATGTCACTGCATGGGTAGCTACATATGCAAATCAAGAAGCACTAGGTACATGAACTGAGTAAGGAGGGTAGAAAAGGTTCAATAGATGTTAGCATCTGTCAAGATTTTCCAGAAACCTCAGAAGGTACAGGTAAGTTGTCAAATTAACAAAACCACCAGATGGACACTCTATGGATGTTACCCTATAAACACTTTACCTTGTGTTTATTGATATGTAACCACTTAACTCAGGACAAACTGAAGTGCTCTTCCTGGTGTTTACATATCTTTTCTACATGGATCTTTGGGGTTGTGTGTTCTCCCATGACCCATGGCAGCACCGCCTCAATTTTCCTGCCTTGTAAACATTTATACCCACATGCATGCATGTGGGTATAAATGATGGGGATCGAAAGTTTGGGCACCCCAGCTAAAAATTTGTATTAATGTGCATAAAGGAGCCAAGGAAAGATGGAAAAATCTCCAAAAGGCATCAAATTACAGATTAGACATTCTTATAATATGTCAACAAAAGTTAGATTTTATTTCCATCATTTACACTTTCAAAATAACAGAAAACAAAAAAATGGCATCTGCAAAAGTTTGGGCACCCTGCAGAGTTAATATCGTGTACTGCCCCCTTTGGCAAGTATCACAGCTTGTAAACACTTTTTGTAGCCAGCCAAGAGTCTTTCAATTCTTGTTTGAGGTATCTTTGCCCATTCTTCCTTACAAAAGTCTTCCAGTTCTTTGCGATTTCTGGGCTGTCTGTCACGCACTGCTCTTTTAAGGTCTATCCATAGATTTTCAATTATGTTGAGGTCAGGAGATTGTGAAGGCCATGGCAAAACCTTCAGTTTACGCCTCTTGATGTAATCCCCCGTGGATTTCGAGGTGTTTTTAGGATCATTATCCATTTGTAGAAGCCATCCTCTCTTTAACTTCAGCTTTTTCACAGATGGCATCAAGTTACCATCCAAAATTTGCTGAAATTTCATTGAATCCATTTTTCCTTCTACTCGTGAGATGTTCCCTGTGTCACTGGCTGAAACACAACCCCAAAGCATGATTGATCCAACCCCATGCTTAACAGTTGGACAGAGGTTCTTTTCATTAAATTCTGTGCCCCTTCTTCTCCAAACGTACCTTTGCTCATTCCAGCCAAAAAGTTCAATTTTAACCTCATCGGTCCACAGAACTTGTTTCCAAAATGCATCAGGCTTGTCTATATGTTCATTTGCAAAGTTCAAACGATGATTTTTGTGGTGAGGACGTAGAAGAGGTTTTCTTCTGATGACTCTTCCATGAAGACCATATTTGTACAAGTATCTCTTTATAGTGGAATAGTGTACCACAACTCCAGTGTCTGCCAGATCTTTCTGGAGGGATCGTGCAGTCAAACATGGGTTTTGAATTGTTTTTCTCACAATCCTGTGAGCTGTTCTGTCTGATTTTTTTTCTTGGTCTTCCAGATGTTGCTTTAACTTCCACTGTTCCTGATGACTGCCATTTCTTAATTACATTTCGAACAGAGGATATTGACATCTGAAAACGCTTTGCTATCTTCTTATAGCCTTCTCCAGCTTTCTGAGAGTCAACTATTTTCAGTTTCAGTTTTCTAGACAACTGCTTAGAAGAACCCATGATGCTGATTGTTGGGGCAATTGACAGGCAATTGAGATTGACATCACCTGGTCTTCCCAGACGATGACTGAGAACAACCCATGACACTGGCAGGTCTCAGATTGGCAAAGGGAGCAGTGCATGCTATAAATTCTGCAGGGTGCCCAAACTTTTGCAGATGACATTTTTTTAGTTTTCTGTTATTTTGAAAGTGTAAATGATGGAAATAAAATCTAACTTTTGTTGACATATTATGAGAATGTCTAATCTGTAATTTGATGCCTTTTGGAGATTTTTCCATCTTTCCTTGGCTTTTTTATGCACATTAATACAACTTTTTAGCTGGGGTGCCCAAACTTTCGATCCCCACTGTATATGGTTTTTCTCATGTTTATTGTTTCATTTTTATTATAATGGATGTATTTTGAAAGTGCTCTATTCCTCTTTTTCATGTATTGCTTATAAATGGGATACTGATACCAATATACACATTGATTGTACAACCTTAAGTTCATATGCACTCTTTATTGCAATGTGTAGATGTAACAGTATTTGTATTCATCTTTTTAGGTTTGAATAGAATAGAGAAAGGTTAAGACCTCCTATTAGTTTTTTTTTTTTCTCTGTGTCCTATTGGAGAAACTTCCCTACACTGTCTGTCCCAAACATAAGACAGGAAATAAAAGGAAATCTCTCCAAAGTGATGGAAATTTTCTTATTAGACAGCTGTCACTGTAACAGGTTTCCCCGTTGGAAGACCTCCCCTTGCCTCCTCTTCTTGGAGAAACTCAAACATTTTGGATATTGTGTTCTGTGTCAGAGACTGTGGTCACCAAGACAAATAAAGAGCGTGAATGCAGCCACCTTGGACCCAGACAGAAATAAAAACCTGACAGTGGTTTTAACACTTTTCCACTTTATCCAAAATGTATAAAAAAAACATTTTGGTTTCACAAACACTTTAAAGCTTAACTCCATGGAA